GCGGTCCTGGGTGACTTCTCGGGCACGAAACGCGGAGTCGCTGCTTCGGACCAGCAGTGCGAGTGATCACTACGTTTACCTTGCATGTGCCATCTAATCTGGACTCGCTGTACCCTTACCATCACTTATGCTCGTCAGGTGCCATATAAGTATCTGAAAATTAAATAATCGTGCTTAGTTATTGCACTTGTGTTTGAGCGTAAATAAAAGTTTCCAAGTTTCAGTTTGAATTTTCTTTTAAAAGATGAAGTATCATACCTTCAGATGGAAGATTTGAGAAGATAATACCTGAATTTTGATGAAGGGAATAAAATGAATGTAACTGACAATGAATCAGTGTCCACCTTCAGAGAGCACACAGCCAGGTAGATGCGTGCCCGTCTGGCTGATAGTTTTAATTAAACCAGCGGAGGGGGGTATGGCTTCCACGTGTATCGTTCTCATTTAGTACTGATTTAGTACCGGTGAAGTCTGTTACTGCCAGACTTACCTCTGTCTCCTCTGTAGTTAAAGAGGGCATGCCATGGGTTTATTTGCCTTATCAAGGCAGCATCTAAAATATAAATGCATACAGAGAAGTAGGGTGGAGAAAATGTCTGTGGGGCTAGGGTGTCATTCACCATCTGAAACTTGTGAACTGCTGTGATAGGATGTGTGGTGTGCCATGGGAGAGAAATAGCAGTTACATTTACAATTTGAAAAAGTGACAGTGTATTTCTATTCAATAGGACAGATTGTCACAGGCAGTAAACGTGTGGTTTTTATATTTCTGTAGGTGAGAAACACTGTTGTGGTATGAATGAATACTACTATTGGGATAAGGACTTCCTTCTTAGGAGCTGTGTATTTAAACTCTGTAATAGAATTTATGTATGTATTGCTGTGTATTTAAACTATAATAGAATTCTTGAAACTCATGGCTTTTAAGGCCAGAAAGGACTCTTAGGTGATTTAATAGTCTGTAACATGCAAGAGATTAGACTAAATTTCACCAAGTTTACCTGTGTTTTTCTGAAGCATAACTAGGGCTGAGCTCAATTATATTTTCTTGGAAAGCACCAGTCCTGATTTTACTTAAAAAGATGAATGATTCACTGAACTTGTGTGCAGAAACAGTGCTAAAATATCATTTTAGTTGTTGGTGCTCACTTTGCATCCATTTCCTTTTACGAGTGAAGTTCAGGCAGTTCTGCATGAAGGTATCTGCTTATCAACACAGTGTATTGATGCTTATGCTGCTTCCTTATCAAGAGCAATTCTCCTTGAGAATAAGAAATAAAACCAAGTGGAGTTGATACAAGTTACTCCTGCTTTATGGCAGATATTGAGATCTTTAAATTTCTCCCTGGATTCATGCCAAATACTTCTTACATATATGAAATCTTAACTACTGTTAATGCATGCTACATGATAAGTTATTCCTGCAAACAAGAAAATTTGTCATATTATATGAAAATACAGCTTTCCGTCCAAAGCTTGGATACCTGCATGTAGTGGTTGTATATATCAACCAGAAATTCATGGTTTATTTTCAAGCACAATTTGAGATCTGATCTTTTGAGCTGATGAAAATCTGTGACAGTGGTTGGGCTTTACACCCTATTTATTCATGTTCCATATATTCGGAGAAATCTGACAGGCTAAATGTAGCTTACAGCTAAGTTTTGTAAAACCAATTTTTCCATAACATAGTGTTCCAGGACTGCCCAGTTTTAAATTGCACCTTAATGGGGTTCCTCATGCAGTGTCTGTAAGGCAGTGGTGCAGCCTTTGCAGGCCAAGGCAGCCGTGCAGAGCTCGCTGCCTGCCGCTCTCGTCAGCTTCATCTTTCTCAGTCTAGGCAGTGCAATGTGCCAGCTAACAAAATGGTGAAAAATGAGATTCTTAAAAACTGTCAACCTTAATACCCTGAGTTATTACTCAGAATGTAAACACTGGGCTTTTATTTTATGAAAATCCATAGACATTTAACCTGATAGTGCTATAAACCATTGACCTGGTATCCTCTGACATATCTCAAATATTACAGACCAGCATCTTCAGCAGCTCTGATAAAGCATTTCATGATGTGATATGCATTTCACTTTATCCTAGTTTCCACTGCTACTGAAAAAGTTTGTAATTCTTTTCATCAGAGACAAATTCTGGGAGCTGAGTTATGAGTCAGACAGATGGAATGTTTTCAACCTGCTTCCTTCCCTTAGCTTCAAAGTATAGAGTACTGCCTGTATCACAAATACCCATTCAGTTATCTTCTGCATTCTTTGATTACTGATATGTAGCATTGACAAAGCTGTCAGCAGTTTGGTTAAAATCTTTAGCACCTCTGCTTTCAAACTCTGTTTTACAGTGGTTGTCTGCATTTCATAATTACAGAAAACTTAATGATATTTCTGAAAAACATGTATATACCACTTCAGAATTGCATAGAAACAAATTTTTCTTCAAGATTTTTCTTCAAGTTCATCAAGGATTTGAGACAGAGTAGTTCCTTGGCCAAAAAATGCACTTATAAATCAGTCCTCCTGAATCTCTTTGCTCTTCGAAGAATTCTCCAACAACCAAGCTATTCACTTACAAGATAAACTCTGTCCCATGTCCTTTATCTCAAGAACTGGATCCTTGCTGGGATGGATGGATGGATGGATGGATGGATGGATGGATGGATGGATGGATGGATGGATGGATGGATGGATGGATGGAGCACAGAGGTAACCTTGGGTCAAGGACCTGTGCTGTGGGAGAGAACATTGTTTAGACAAACCCCCAGGCTTCGTGTTGTCTCCAAAGAGCTGCAGTCTCAGCTCTGGGTGTAGCCTGTTCTGAGGCTGCTCTGGCTGCAGGAGTGTTTTCTTCCCTTATGTATTTTGGACTGCAGCTGACCAGTTGCAGTCAAATGTGAGACTGAGATAGGTAACTGCAAGTGTTAGAGAAAGGAGACACAGAAAAAGGCCCTCATGCTGCGAGGAGCTCATTGATTTTCCATGGCTTTGGTCTCTTGGCCAGTAAATCCAAAGGCATGATCCTGTTTGTGGACTGGCACACACACAGCTCTGCCAACTGCTCTGTCAGGAGGGAAGGGGCTTGGAAAGAGAAGGGGTACTGCAGGTAGGTGGGGATGGGGGACGTATGGGAAAGGACATAATTTTCTGGGACAGTGCCTTGATGTTCTTGGCATGGATGAGGAGGAAGAAGGTTACACGACCCGAGAGCTGTCTGTTTTTCCTACGCTGCAAAACTCCTGCCCTCATCTGTATGCACACAAAAACATAGTTCCATTCACAAAATTGCAGCTGTACAGAATATTCTCAAGAGGTTTTTTAACTGTGTTTCTGTGATGAGATCAGGCTTAGGTCACATGAACTTCAAGAATTACTGGAAGTAAACCTGAACTATCGTGAGGATAAAGAGACAGATGCTTCTTTACAACTCAGGTGTATTCATTCCTGTGCATGTGAATACTAGACCTATATTAAACAAAACCAGAGACTTGCTTATTCTGTGGATTTTTGTTACCCGTATTTTGTTTCTCAAATCACATATTCATAAGCCCTTTCACATAAACATATACTTTCATACCTGCATGAATAGAACAATTTTTAGTAGCAACCTAGAAGAAGGAAGGAAACATTATGCCATTAATGCTCCATGTAAAATGAGAAAATATGAAACACATTTACCTTGATCCAATTTAGGCTTTGCAGAGTCATTATTGCTCAAATTATATGGCCATTCAAGTCCCTTACTTGCTCACATCCATTTTTCTTTCCGTAGAAATTTCCCATTGCCTCAGCACTTTGAATTGCATGGGCTGCTCTGAGCTAGCAGTCCTCATTCTTCATCTAGACCACAGGCAGCCAGTGCTAGCAGGCTCTGGCAACAGCTCTGTTTATTCTGCACGACTCAGGATAGTGCTGGCTGTATAGAAGTTGTGTAGAAACACACTGAGAAAAGGTAAAATGACTGACAGGCATACAAGGAGGCCACTGTGTAATATTTAAAGTGTTGTCTTCAGTCTTCTGTGTTGCTTTTGTCTCTCTGTTCAAAGAGCTGCATGTAAGGGAGGGGAGGAGAGCTAGTACATAAGCACTTTCTGGGCATAATTCCTGGTATAGATGTCTCTTCCATATTTGTAGGAGTGCATTGATAAATCCAAAGCAGAAGAATGAGATAAGGTGTTTAGAAAGTTTTGATCCAGTTGAATTCAAAGGACAAAAAGCAACTCTGACACAGTTCAGCAGCGCTAAAGTGGGGTTCCCTTCATTCCTGTGAGATTAGCCTTGGGATGATGCTGTGACTCCAGTTTGTGTGGATTCAACTGTTCCAGTCCTGGCATTTGAGCAGTTTTCTCTTTAACTGCATCCCTGTTCTCCTTCCTCCATAATTAACAAGGCATTGGAGAGAGGAACTCTTTGTTGCTCATAGTTTGTGTAGTCTAGCAGCCCTTTTAGAAAACTTCTAGGAAATAGATTAAAGTTTGTTATGAAGAGAATTCTTTGTATTGCATATATTAAAAAAGCCATATACAGTATTTGATATTTAATATATAATGATTTGTTTCAATTTCTGTTATCTCTAATGATTTATTAATTTGTTATGCTCTTTTATGAAGTTAGTGAATTCAACTTCTTTTCATGGTGACTGTATCCTTCAAGATTCTAGATTAGTAGATCTCACCCAGACTTGTATCTAAGGAAGAAAATGAGATTTCTGGCCCATTTCCAGTTTCCACCTTGTTTCTCAGCAGTTGAGTGAACACCATTGAATGCACTAGCAGAAGCAGCTGCTATGGGGACATATTCTTATTGAGTTGTGTGGAAGTGGTCAGTGGTATCAAAAAGAGGTTTTTCCCTTCAGCAAAACAGTGGTTTGACTTTTTTTTTTAGAAATTAAGCAGCAAATTTGTACTGCATCCTTACTTACTGTTTTCCTTAAGAAAAAAAATATTAATTTATGTACTTTTAATTGTTTTCCATTTCAAGTAACATTTAAAATAAATGCAACTGAAATATCCACTTCCAGTAAAAATTCTGATTTGGATTTTGCCTTGTTTTCTTGAATCATAATTTTTTTATCCATCCTATTCAGGTAATTAGAGATAATTCAAACATCATAAGTCCTCAATAATTGGCTTCTAACAATTTTAATAAAACTGGTAAGTACCCTACACAATTAATGGGTGCTTGGTTCATAACTAATTTTACTATTCATAGGCAAGTACTCTTTCTACCTATGCATAACATTTTCTCAAATGGTAGTATTTTGATCATTCATCCATTTTAGAATAAATCTCATTTCTTACATCCTCACCAAAGCAAATACTGAAAAGGATACCAGATTTGCTATGTACTACATAATTCTTTCATTTGCTCTGAGTTGTATCTGTTCTATCAGATTATTTTAAAGCTTGCCATTTTAGCATCAGAGACGTGTTTGTATACAAAGATTATTGATATGGATGTCCTCATGTCTTATCTGTAGGATGCATCTCTGACTGAGGTAAACTCATTCAGTCCTTCAGTGCCAATATCCCCCTCATCAATGATAAACCAGTATAAATTTGAAGATGGGCCAGAATTAAGAGATCTCTTCATTACAGTGGATGATCCTGAAAGCCACATTACAGCCATTGAAACATTTATCACATACAGAGTAGTCACAAAGGTGAGTATCTATTTGTGGTTTAATGGCTTGCTTTGATAACAACTGGCATTTTCACTCTTCTTGCACACCATTCTCTGGCCTATTGCTAAATTTAAACTTTAATTTTGCCAGGAGTTATAGACAACTAAAACTGCATCAAACCTGTGCTATGTAATGGAAAAATTCAGTGTGAGTCTGTATACACACATGTTTATGTTGAGAAAGTAGTTAATAATTCTTCAATGGCAAAATGAGTGCTGTGAGGCAATAACATTTTCTGTTGTGATCTTCAGCAGGAGCAGGAAACAGCCAAAGGACTGACCCACTTTGAAGACACTGTATTAGCACAAGTATTGATGACTTTTGGATAACTTACAGGCTACCAGTCTTACATTTTGCATAAACATTACCTCCTACAGTCTTTCAGTTCCATTGTTTTCTAATTGCAGCCATTAACACATGGGTGTTTGCTTCCCATGTACATGTGATGTGATTTCTGGGGGAAATGCCACAATTCTCTAATGAAAAAGTAGTATTAGGAAACAATTAAGTGTATTTTTAGTTGTCCTGAATGCAACTTATTTACAGAAAATAAGGAAGAAAGTCAGCCTTGTGAGACCAGACAGATCTTCTGAGATTACCAGTAAATATTGTGCTGGCTCCATTTTGAGAATTGCATTGTTAATTTATTTTACTTTGAGTTCTTTTTAAAATATTTATTTAAAAGCATATTTTCAAATGGGAATTATTCATCTTTAAATAAGATATATCAATTCCTCATAAAATATTTAATGAGTAGGAAGAGAGCTATCTTTGTTATGTTGCTAGCAATAATTTTCACTTTATGCCTCTTTCTGTAGACGAAAGAACATTTTTTTCTTCAGGCAAGTATGAAAGGGCTGTAAGTTGCATTGGTCTTGCTTTTTTAATCTCTTCTATCCTTTCTTATCATATTTAATTTGGAGTGCTGGCTGTTGATGATAAAAGTAATAGCATTCCTCCCACACACCTTGAAAAATTTTTATTCAACCCTCAAAAATTTTTGGATTACCAAGCCTCTTTTGAGGTTTATAGAATTTACTTGCATCGCGTTATAAATTTCTGTGCAACAAAGAATGCTAAAAAGCACATGTAAATTAAAACATGGTCTCTTTGTGGCTTGCCTCCAGAAGACAGAGCAGTGGTAAAATCAATCTCAGGATCTGACAAATTTTTAATCTGTAATAAGCATTTTTTGTAGGCATTAAAGGTTTGATGGCAAATTCTAACAGGAGGCTTCAAAACTGGAATCAGTGATAGGCTGCAGAATCCAGTAAGCAATGCAGGAAGTGTTATTGCTGTGATATGCTGAAGTTTTCATGTTTTGAATATGGGGATTATTGAGTAATGTCACAAGGATGTGTGTCAGCTCTTTGGGCTTTGTTCAGAGTGCTATAAAATGGACTTTCCTCACTTGTAAATTACTCATCACTTTAAGAGAAGTGCCCCAAGTAACAAACATAACTGTGATTGCTGAAAGAAAAATGCCACACTAAAGTAATTTTTGCAATAATTTGGAAACATTGTGGTAAGATAACCATTATATGTCACTGCCCAAAGTGCAGCTTAGTGCTTTTTTTTCCCCCAATAGAACTTTGATTTCTTGCTGGAATATGGTGTGTTAACTCATCAAGGAGTTGATCATTGTTCTTTAACATAACAGCAAACCAGTAACAGAGACTAAATAGAATGTATGCATTCCCTCAAGTACTCAGTTTTCTCCAAAATCTAAAACTTTTTTTTTCTGGTATTCTAACCTAAGCCTGTTTTTTCTGCCTTTGGTTTTCAGACAACGCGTGGTGAATTTGACTCCAGTGAATATGAAGTCCGAAGACGATACCAGGATTTCCTTTGGTTGAAGAGCAAACTTGAAGAAGCACATCCAACACTGATCATTCCTGTTTGTTTGCTAAAACTTAAGTTTTTTTTCTTTGTTTATAAGATGGCTCCAGTTTTATATAGAGATGTTTGAGGTCTTTCTTCAGCTTCTGAAATTTCACAAATATTAAGCCAACCTATTTTCCTTAGCTTTATATATATGTGACAAAAATCACATAAAGGTATTTCTTAGGTTAATTTGCAGTAATTTATGTCCTTTCCTAGTTGTACTTGTGTTCTTCTGCACTGTATATTACAAGAAAAAATGGTATACCTTAGTTTAATACAATAACTTTATATAGCTTTTGGATTGTTGCATAGTGGATTTTACAAGGTATGCCTATGTTTTTTAGTAAGCAGAAGACCTGTTATAATACTCCAAACATTATGCAATTTATACAATATATTTCTTATTTTTCTTTCCTTAGCCATTGCCTGAAAAATTCATAATGAGGGGAATGGTGGAACGATTTAGTGATGAATTCATTGAGACTCGAAGAAAAGCTTTACATAAATTTTTGAACCGTATTGCTGATCATCCAACTTTAACTTTTAATGAAGACTTCAAGATTTTTCTTATTGCTCAAGCCTGGGTAAAATGACTTTGTTGTTATTTACAGTTACATGAAGCCACATGTTATGTTAGTAGGGTATATCAGGAGCCTCCCTGGTTCAGTATTCAGCAGTGTCATCCCGTGGCTTTTTACAGAAGTGGCAGAAGCAGGCAGGGATTTGTGGAATATTCATAACCTCAGATAACCTTTTCTGTTGGTTTTGGTAATCATGTGGTTCTGTGGTTTTGATAATCATGACCATAAATGGTGCTGTACCATCCAAAGTTGGTTTTGTTACTGCATTTTGGATTTTTGTAGAAAATTCATAGTATTTCAGCTCTGCATATTTTTTGGTACACATATAAGTTTCCAAGATTATGAGTAAAACAGTGGTATTAATTAATTATTGTTTTGGCATGGCAGTGTCTTTTCCTTCTTTTTTCTAAATTTTACTAATCTCATAAAAGAAAAATACAGGATTTTCCTGTTGCATTGTTGCAAAATTGTGTCCAGTTGCAAATAGGAGTTTTGTACTCAGAAAAGCCTGCTGGATGGATTACTTCCTCCAGTAGGAGCATTGTCTGCTTTTCTCAAAGACTTATTTCTTCAATCATTACCTCTGCTTTCCTGTTCAAAAAGCTAAATTGCAAACTGGCTAACTCACCCTGAGGAGCACAGGGGTGAAGGTTCTCTGCCATCTTCAGCCATTCTTGCGACACTGTCACACATGGCATGCTTGTGTTTGCTCAGAAAGGCTTAGCTAATAATACATGCACAAGGCAGGGATGGTTCTGGCACTGGTCTAATAGTGATAAGATTTATACACTAAAAACACAGAGCTTTATGTATGTAGTTTTGTTTATTTTAAAAAAAGAAAAAGCACGCTTTTATTTATAATTTTCAGAGAATTAACAAAAGTACCTGGAGTAAAGAGAGCTTGTTCTGTCTTTAGGAACTCTCCTCGCACAAGAAGCAAGGTCCTGGTTTGCTGAGCAGGATGGGACAGACCGTCAGAGCTGTAGCATCCTCAGTAAGAGGAGCAGTTAAAAATCGTCCTGAAATGTTTACAGAAATGAACAATTACATGGAAACATTTAGTCAGAAAATAAACTTACTAGATAAAATAGCTCATAGGATTTACAAGGAAGAAAGAGGTAAGTAGAAAACATGTTACAGTTTTACTGATTTAAGACATTTAAAAGTAAATTGGTTTTCATTATGGCAGGCAAAATATTCTTTCCAGGAAAAAGGGAGATGTTTTTATTGTGTTTTTCTTTCTGGTCATGTTTTTGACAGATGTTCAAGTATGAATAATTTTTTAATATGAAGAGTTTTAACATGTCATTCAGCTACTTATAAGGAACTTAGAAGAATATATTAAAATGTGCTTTTTGGTTTTTAACTTTCAAGGGAATGTACAGTTTTCTGTGCAATCTCATGGTGATTGAGGCTGTCTTGATTCTAGGTCTCTAAACTTTGTTTAGTTTTGTTCTGCACTTTTTTTCCATTGAGAAAGTAGATTTTAATTTTTTAATAGCTTTACTGTTGGCGATAATTTCTGTCATGGTAAGCTGTGCCTACTAGAGTTTTCTCAAGAAGGATGGGTTAATCTGAATTTTTTCCTTAAGTAAGAGCAGTTCACACATCTAGTTGGAATGCTAAGTTACTGACTTTCTGAGATTCTGAGATGATCCTGATCTCAGACTATGCCTGTTCAATAGAATTTCCACTGGGCAGCACTTAAAGTATTTATTTGTCTTTAGAATATAAATTGAAGAGCTGCATTGTGTTAATAACTGAGTCCTAGAGCTTTCTTGTGCAGTACCAGATCTCAGTGTGTCCTCACTGAAAGGGTGAACAGTTGACATTGTTCCCTCCAGTAAAAGTAGCTGTCTGAGCTCTGTAGGTTCAAGGTATCAGTGCCAAAATATTTCTTGGGAAAGCTTAAGAATTTTGACATGCTCCCAAATGTTGTAGGTTATATCTTCTTTCTTGATTTTCCAAACAACACTTGTCAGAACACTTGTGTGTGGGGCTACACTGTGGTGAATAGGAATTGTTGATAGCTGTGATACAGAGAATTCCTGCTTGCAGTACCTTAACATGGAGTTCCTGATTACATCTTCCATAGAGGGTTTTTTTTGTCCAAATAATCTCAAAATAAACATTACACTCTTTATGCCACACAACTGCTTTCTTCTCTCTTAGGACATTTCTTCATTATAAATCTAGTGACAAAATTGCATTTTCAATGCATGACCAATGTGTTCACAGTCTCTCCTCCTGTGAACTGCAGCTTGCCCATGTTTAGCCCTACCAAATGGCACAGTGATTTTTGGGCCTTCTCTGTTTATGGATTATCACTTGGTCTAGAAAATTACTTCTCTTATGTCTTCTACATAAGAGAAGTAATTAATAAGATATCTCTGTATTTAAATTAATAAAAACTACTGAAGGAGATGCCTGTTGAGCAGGAGTGAACTTCAGTGCTTCTTCTGAAGCTTTTGGGTTGGGACATAACAAATCTTGTAGTTTCAATAAGTGAGACTGTATTTGGAACATTACTGTTACCAAGAAGCAGAGGAATTCATGGCAGTAGAAGTCATCAAGTCAGACCAGCTGCCGGGGCTCCTGTTGCTCTTTTTGAAGACAGTGTAAGGTAATGCAGGTCATTGGTGTCTGAATGCAGCTCTTCAGGTCTGGCTGAGTGTGTGTGTCATTGTGAAATGTGTGAGGCACTTTGGCTGATAAATTTCTCAAAGCTACTTAAATACGATACATTAATTGGTTAGTTTATTCATTAACAGTGAACTGGAGTTTACTTATCTTGGTCATTTGAGCAAATTTATAATTAGTGTCAGTCTCTTGCTTGGTTCACAGTAAATATGAAGTTGCATTTAGTATCCCTTAGATCTCTATAAATGAAGAGTAATAGGTGTATCTGTTCCTTTTAAGACTACTGCAATGAGATGAAGGAGTACGGCCCCATCCACACGCTGTGGTCGGCGTCGGAGGAGGCCATAGGCGACTCCCTGAGGGGCCTGGCCGGCTGCATCGAGCGCTGCTGCAGGGCCACGGAGAGGAGGATGGCAGGGCTCTCAGAGCACCTGCTGCCCATGCTGCATGAATACGTCCTCTACAGCGAAATTCTCATGGTAAGCTTTCCTGAAGGACTCCTGATGGCTCAGAATAAAATTTGACTTTGACCATGTCCAGGAGAGAATTTGTAGCTGATGAAAATGTCCCTGTATTTACTCGGTACAAAGCATACATGGCATATGATACCTGTCCATTATTGGGGAATCTGATTGGTGCTGTTTCTCTTGCTAAGTGCCCCTTCCAAATAAGAAGAGTCTGATAGTTTTGCCTGGCAGGCAGCCATGGGTAACTGTGCTAGGGTATCTAGTTTTGTCATCTTCAGTGAGCTCTGCATTGTAGCAGTGAAGGTTTGGGAACAGCAGTTGAGAAAGACCTTCCCTGACACTGCCAAAATATGAACTCATTGAATAACAGATTGTGTGTGGGAAAAGGAGTGGAGAGGTTTTTCCCTTTCTAGGAGCTCTTCCTAAGTATGTTTTCTTTTTCCTGAACAGCTGGGAACTTCCAGTCCCTGCACCATTATATAAGCATGTGTTAGTCTTTGCCATAAGCTACTGCTCTCAGTTCCCTTTATGTTTGTATTTTGCTTACACTTGGAGAGGATGTAAAAAATCAGACTCCAGGGTTGATACAGTCAGTGCTGGTGGATAATCAGCATAATAAAGCAACTGAATTCAGTGTGTCATAATTCCCACTTTGCTGCCTACAGAAAGCAGAACATGTGTACAAACCCCTCTTTGTCTAGGTTTTGAGCAATGCCAGCTGCAGAATCTGTTGTGTTACTGCTGGGAACCCATCTCCTGCTGTAGTGGTTTCTGGGTAGGGGCTGCAGGAGTCTTACAGTCCATAGATAGAGCAAGACCCAAGTTAACTGAGCCTTTGGTGGCACTCTGCAGGGTATTGCCAATTTCTCAGTAAGGCTTAGCTACTGAAAGTTAGGAATTCCTGCTGCAATGACTGCTGTCTTTAAAACAAGCTTCACAGAAAAGGGGGCCATACAAAATGGCCTGTATCTCACAGTCCTCATTTTTTTTCTGGTAGATGGAGGTAGGTACTTTGCTTAAAGATCTGAAGAGGTTACTGTCCTAGCAGGTCATCTTCTCCCCCACTTCCAATCTTATTTTTCAGAATTTCTATGTTACCCTGAAGCAATTGTAGTCTTTATGCTACTGAGGAGATGCTGCCTACCCATTGCCTTCTATTTTGCAGCCTGGCTCACCCTCACCCTTTCTTAGGCGTTCTGCTTTGTGCAGAGCACAGAAAGATTTCTGGGGCAAGCCCCAGGATGATTACCAGGCTCTTCCTGCACACCTCACTGTTGCCCACTGCATAATTTTTCTGCTTGTAGCTTTCTTGATGCAGCACTTGCAACACAGTGTTAGGCTGCCATGAGGTCCTGTCCAGGGGAGAAGTCTTCCTTCAGTAGCTCATTCCTGTTCCACAACTGTTCCTTTCCCTTCATTCACCATGGATTTTTATTTTACTTACTGCTTAGTTCCCCAGGGAAATGCTAGCCACTAAAATAAAATACCCAAAATACTGTATGGAAGTCACCCACCAGTAAGCCTTTCAGAGGTGTGTTTAACCCCTCATCACAGGGACCTTGGTGCAGTGCTGCCAAGATCACTTGCAAACGTGCAGAACAAGGTGTGATCAATACAATACAATCCTCGTATTTTCCAGTGTTGAAAGTCCAGCCTGTAACTAGGAAAAGAGTTGGATTCATAACTAAAATATTTACATCTGGACCAACCCCTTCCTAACTGACCCATAAAACAAATCTGCTGTCCCTCAGGGTACAAATTACAGCGCTAATTAGTTATGGGTCCACATAAAATTATTTGTGTGTTTTTTGGGGCACAATACCATTAAGTATTGTACAAAAAACCTGCAGAAGTACAATAATATGTTTTAAAAGGATAGTGCCTTTGTTTGCAATTAGAACTCAGCACTTGTTGATGTAGCACCTTAATGTTAATTGGTTTTATCTTGTAATTTAAAGTGTATGTGTGATAAATGTTGCCAAGCTGTCATTAAAAGTTTTAAAAGAGGCAAAAGAAATAGGAAAAAAGAGAAATAGCTTTTCTTTATGAAGAAAAGCTATTCCAGACAGTTTGGGTTTTTTTTGCTTCTGTGCGTCCAGATAAACATTTTCTGTATTTATCTAACCAAAAGATTCCAAGGTATTGATGAGCATTCGTCTATATTGCTGATCTATTGCTCAGAAAAACCCAAAGTCAGATTTACCAGGTTTTTATAGTGATTACCTGTTCAAAAAGAAACATTGCAAAATTACTTGAAAATTAAGCTCTTAAATTATTCTATCATGTTTGATAAAGTGCCAAAATTTCAGAGAGAACTCAGTCAAAAAGAGAGCTAGAGAAGGTAGAGCTGCTTGTGCCCTGTGCTGTTTCAACATGCCCTATGCTAGAGGTGAATACTGAACATCTCTGCAGAAGAAGCAGTAAAACCAGTTGTGGCAAGGTAATGTAAAAGAAGGTTTTGAGATTTGTAATTATATATGTCCTGCTTCTGATTTTTTTTCAAAAATACTAAGGCCTTGCAACACTTCTGCAAGAAAAACATACCTGAGTGTGCTTTTACAGATGAGGAAGCTAAGGCAAAGAGACATTTGTAAGGCTTCATCAAGGTCTCAGAGCAAATGAGCATTGGAAATGCTGTTCATGTTTTGTAGCTTAATGAGTAATATTGCTTCCCCTTTCTAATTATTTTTTGACATTATGCTAAAAATCCAATACCTGATAAGATAGTTTCAAAAAAGGTAAAAATTATGTATTCTGAAAATAAGCACATATATTAATGGTAGAAAAGCTTTCATTCCTGTGATAATTTTATCTGACTTTTCTGACATTTTTTTTCTGATTTGCCAGAACCATATTTGGCATTTACAAAATAATATTAAAGTTAAAGTCACCAATTTCAATAATGCCTTTATACTATTTCTAGTCATTCTACTTTATTTTGTAAATTTTACTCAAAGAAGATACTTCTGTTCATGAGATTTGGTAAACTTATGTTGCTGTTTTTAAAGGAATATATTGTAAGTTAAGTTGATACCAAGTAAACTCCTGTAGCAGTTCTGCTTATACAACTGGCAGTGGTATTGTGTATGGCAGATTCTTGTGGCACTGATTTTTGGATTTAGTAAGATTATTGAGAAACCTGTAAGATAAAATACAGGTATGGAAAAATAAGTCTTCATTATTTTAAGTTTGGGGGGTTTTTTTTTTGATAAAAAATATATCATGTCTAAATTATTAAATGGTATCATTCTGTGGTCTTGTTTATCAAATAGCCAACTTGTTTGATTGTTTTCTGAAAGAGCTAAAATTTGGTGCAGTTTACTTCTTTATTTTTTTTTCCTTCTCTACTAAGGGTGTTTTGAAAAGGAGAGACCAAATTCAAGGCGAGCTGGATTCCAGAGTTGATGCTTTAGCCAATAAAAAGACAGAGAAGGACCTGGTAAGTGTTTTCAGAAGGCTGGACCCTTCTGAAAAGGGCCGTGTTGTAGCAGCAGGAGAGGCGCAGAAGGATGCTGTCCTCTGAGGCCAGGGGCTGGGGCTGGGGGCTGTCCCCACTCTGGCAACTCTTGTGCCAGGCAGAGGCCATCACCAGCAAGAAGCAGCACTGAGTAGCTGGGCTGCTGCTCGTGGTGGGCAACCACTGGCCTTTGTCAACACAGACCTGACCACGGCTCATTTTTGCAGTTAAAAGAAAGTAACAGTTGCTGCAGTGCTCTCATAGCTGTGGCTTCAGTGATGTAGGAGAGGTAGAGGAGGGGATTAGAATCAGCAAAACTGTTCATTAAACTTATTTAAAGTAAAATGTTCTGTTCTTACAGGTTTCTGGTTTTTCTGGTTGGGCTCAGGGATATTTTTTTTCTTCCTATATGAAACTTTCATTCACTCCAGTAAAGTCAGACTCTAACTGGGCAGGCATCCCCAAAACCACCAGCAAGGCTCAGCAGCCAAATAAAAACAACCTCTGGGATGAGAATTGGCATTTTAAAAATTTTTGATAGTTAAACTCTCCAGTCTAAATAATGTCCTTTTAGCACAGTATTAGCACCAAGTGTTATACAGTGTAAATGATATGTAAGAATTACTAATACCATTTTAGTACATCAAAGGAGAAAATCTTTAACATTCCAGATACTTTTTACTGGGCTTGTTCTAATTAGTTTCCATGTAAAGATGAGCTGTTTACATACTTTTTGGCACTTTAAATGCATATTTTCATTTGATTTTTTGGCACTGAGATGAATAAATAAGAATATATTGCTGAACTCAGATATCTACAATGGCTATGGTATATTATACAACAATTTGCCTCTGTGTACTGCAGTGGGACATTAAGTAAATATCTCTGGTTTTGGGTTTTTTTTTTCCTGAAGCAGAAATTTTGTGTTCTGTAATTTGTTTTTGTTTTTCTACTTTATTTGCTATTTCTCCCGTCCTTTTTTCTTAGTTTAAAGCCTGAAGCTCTTATAAAATGCTCAGAGGATGGTGAGTTGGAGAAGCCCCCTAGGCTGGGAGTTGGGCAGGTGCACTCAGAGATGAATTCAGCTCCATACAGCTTGTTTAGCAGCCAGACTTGTTGTTGTTTACTGCAGAAAAGACACCATAGCCTGGCAGGACGTGCTGTCTTTTCAGGATGCATTTCCTGTTATAATCTGATGGAGCTCTCAGACAGTGTGCATGCACTCCCTTTTCCTGAACTGTTACAAATAAAAAAGGGATATCTTTATTTTAGCATAGTACTGATCATACCATGTTGATTTGATATTGACAATGGTATACTCCATCATGAGATAGTTGTACTTGCTTCCAGGAGGATTTTGAAATCAGTTTGCCCAAACTTATTTTTTTCACTGTGTGTATGTTTCCACATCTGCATTTACAGTTTGGTAAAGGCTTTGGACACTCTGATTCCCCAGGTGTTCAGATCTTTGCTTTATCTTTCCAACCCCTCTATTTCTTACTAATTTCAGAAAATCCTGTTTTTGAGAGTCTGGTTCTTCTTGTAGTCTCAGAAGAGCAGTAAAACAGATGTCTGTTAGTCTAATATGATAATAAAATCCTGTGTTCTCTAATTGAGTGGCAGCTGTATCCTGAAGACTTTTTCTTAATTAGAAGCTGAAGCCTTTTTCTAGTAAGGATAGTTTGGCAACAGAGAATGGTGTACTGCTATTTTTAACAATTCAAGTGACTTAACTATTTTCTTGGTCATTTTTTTAATATGTTTTCATTTTTATTATGTGTTGAAATATTTTCTACCACTTCTAATCAGACTTATTTCTTATAAAGGTGGTCATAACACAGGTATGTTGTTGGAACAGGTCTCAGACACCAAGTTTGGGTATATTTGCACATATCTATTCCTAAGCAGAACTCCTGTAGCTTCTAATGATCTCATAGATGTCAGATTGAACTTGTCAGTGCAATCTAGTAGCTAGAAATTTTGCTGACAATGAGTGGCGTGAACTCTAATCTCATTTGAAGTACATTTCCACCACAGATAAGGAGTCTCAAACTGTCATTAGAGCTGATAAAAGGCTGTGAGATATTTAGCATTGGTCGTGGCAAACATTAAATGATTTAACAAACACAAGGTTGTACAGCAGAAGAATGTAAAACATCCCTAAGGTCAGTGCAGATGAAATAGGCTGAAATTGCAAATTAAACCTTATGGGACATTAGTCTAATCAGCTGGGAAAAAAATGTTTTCTTGAGCTGTGTTAGAAACCAGCTGCTGCTGGTGCTGCTACAAAAGCCAGAACCTTGGTTTCTACTCCAAAATTTGGTCCACAAAGGAGGCTGTTATTCAGGGTATGGATGGTTTGAAGACTGTGTTTTTGGATGCAGGGTCTACCCTCCTGCTTAACCAGACATTTCTTACCTCCAGAGCTGTGGCTGAAAAGATAGTGGAATATGCTGCTCCATGATTCCCTCACTCCATCCTGAAGGTTACACAGCAATGCTGATGTATCCCTCTATGGTTTGGGCATTTTTAACGGTTTTAGTCTTGCCACTATAGCTGATAATAATTCTGAAAAAAAAAAGGTTGGTATTAATGTGCTCTGACAGAGCAAGATAAGCATTAAATGCCAACTTAAGGATTCTAGTGTTCAGGCTTGAAACTGAGTAGTAAAGAGATGAAATGCTGAACCTATTACATTCTGAATATATTTTGTGTTTTAACTCCAGGCTAAAAAGGGGTTAGTATCACCAAGCTGTAGGATTAATTCATATAGAGGTAGAAATTTGTGCTATTTTGCTTAGTGAGATGGTGTAAAATACTGTCACCGTGTAATTTGGCTATTGGGCCATGTCTCCTTGGCTACAGTCACACAGTCCATGTCTGCAGCACTCTGCCCTAGCAATGCCTGAGCTCTGGTCCCCTGGCTGATTAGTGCTGTGCTGGCCTCTGGCCATCACTGGTGGGAGATTTCATTTCTCACACTGGCTGCCTCAGTGAGATCCTTGTAAGAAAATGGATTCAGAATCCTGTTTAATTTGCAGGATCAGTTGTAACAATTTACACCTTGTAAATGAGGAACACGCTAGGTGTGGTTTGGTTTGGACTTAACAAAAACTAGATGTTTTAGTTAACTCCAATTCATTCTTCTTCAATTTCTGCTGTTATGGCAGCTAAAGAGAGTAGCATTGTTGGGTTTTTTCAGTTTTGAAGAAGTAGACCTTGAACATGTCTACTTGACATGGTGACATGTGGCATAATGCTGCCTTTAGACAATAAGTCCAACCCCTGCTTAATACAACATGTGATTTCTTTGGGGCTTTGGAGTGGGAAGTTTAAACTGCATATCCAGGCAGAGTTGTGTAACAGTCTGCCTGTCCATATCATGTTCTGACTACAGTATGGAAGAAGTTTTTAGTTCCTAGAAAAGGGTAGACAAAAACAAACTGTAAAATAACTTAAAGTTATAAAGTTGTAAAGACCAAGGTAAGGAGAAGCTGCAGCCAGGACTTCTAAGTCAGAGAAGTTCTTTATGTGTGTAGACTAGTGTATTGCTACATAGGAACTTTTTTTTTTTTTGCAAAAGCAGAGAATGGATTCAACTGCCTTTCCTGCTCTAAATCATCTTTAAAATGTCATCATTTTCAGTATTCTGTGTACATTCATTTTTTGGTATTTGAAGGAAAGGCAATTAGCATGGAACATGGTCAAAATACCAAATCCAGTTGTCTAATTCCTTTAAAGGTAATCCCCCCACATTTAAGCTTTGGATTAGCCTTTTCATTTTGAATGCAGTGTTAATAGTTGAAATTATTCTTGTCTGTAGCTTGATTAGTGGTTTGGCCAGATAACTAAACTTGGGCTTTTCAGTAAAGTAGAAATATTTTTTTTTTTCATTTTGTTCCTCATTAATAACCAGTATGTCATTAACCTAGAAGTGTGGCAAAGAAAATCAGTGTGGAAATCAAATCTAACTAAAAATGTTTATTATTGACTGTGGATAACATTGATTCAGGTGAAATTTTCAGTTTTACTAGCTAGGGATCCAGGTTCTGTGACCCTTTCAGGCAGTGTTTGATGATTCAGTTTGTGTCTGATGGCAGCATCACTGCTGTTGCACTCGATCACTGTTCTCCCCTGCATGGTCCAAGCTGGGGCTGTGCACCCAGGCTTCCCATGTCTTGCTCCGAGTTCTGAGGTTTCTGTGTTCTACCAGGAGCATAAGCATTCCTTTAAAATCCTGGAAGTTAGTCCTGGAATCCTGAACTTCCTATCAATGAAAACACTAGCTCTGCAGAAAGTAAAAGTACCTATCCAACTTCACACAGGTGTGGTATGAGGAGGAAACAATTTGCTTTATGGCAGAATATAAGGATGAAGAAGAAATGTATGAACCTGAGTTGCAATGGAAGCAATCCAAGGAATTAAGTTTTCCTGCTTGATGTTCCTTATTTTGGTGGTGTTTGTGCCTGCCTTCCCTCCTGCTGCAGACAGTGGCTCTGCAGTCCCAGCAGGGGATTTTGCACTGTAGGCACAGGAGATGTGACAGGAGATGTTCTGTGGCCTGGTGCCAGCCAGAACAGACACAGCTGATGAGTAAATGACAGTAGGTAACCAAATTACTGAGAAGACGAGAAAAACTCATTAAAGACAGGGCTGCTGTCCACTTAGTCCCATTAGCTGGCAAGTCAGCTTGTGCATCTACAGTAATGAGAAGCAAGTAATGTCTGAAGAGTAGCCCTCAAAGTTTTGGGTCCTGGATTGCTGTGAAACAGTTTCTTCTCTGTAGAAGTCCTTTCATTTAATTTTTTTCTCTGCTTCTGTATTTCTTTTTCCCTCATATGGTCACACACAGTTCCACAAGAAAAGATGGTAATGTGACAGGCAAGAAATCAGAAAGCTTGTGATTTTGATTTCTGCTGTCTTCTCCCCATTCTGTTTTCTTCTGTTATCAAAGATTCTGACAGGATTTTCTCAGTTTTCCTTGCCAAATCTAATTTGTACAATTGATTCTGCTTCGGTAAAGCCCTCTATATATTTCTGTTTTAATGCATTAATGTCAAGTGCTAGTAAAGAGGTGCCAGAGTCTGTAATTCTCTCAGTAATAAAATATATCTCCAGGAATACTTTCATTCTGATCTATATTTTCTCTTATTAATATTTCAAAAATTGTAGTGAGTTATTAATTAAGAATTAATTTTAAATTTATCCCTGGGCAAAGACTTTTTTTGCTAAGTTAAATACTAGCCTTGGTTCTGCAGTTCTCTTCATCTCCACTACAGTCAGTTGGTTTAAATAATTTTGGAAATGGTGATTTTCCTAATATTTTTTAATGTTTAAAATTAATATTTAGTTCTCAGAAGAGATTGGGAAACTTGAAGACAAAGTTGAACGTGCCAATAATGCTCTGAAAGCGGATTGGGACAGATGGAAGCAGAACATGCAGTGGGATATGAGATCAACATTCACAAATGTGGCTGAGAATAATCTCCGTTACTATGAAGAGGTAAAAGTCTTTCTCACAAAAATGTTATTTTTTTATTATTTCAGTGAAGAAGTCCATGGTAAAGAGGAATTTTTCCATTTTAGTTCAAATATTTGATAACTTTGGAATCAGTTTCTGTGGGAATAGTGGGGCAGTTATGCTTAATTTGACAGATTTCAAGCAGAATATATTTTATTGTGTCCAAGTCGTTGATCCTGAGTTCATCATCGACAGAGGGCACTCTTGTTTTACTAACCACAACAACTTGGAACATGAATTTTGGTTCAGTGTCAGCTGCTATATTTCAGTTTGGAAACATTTTGCTGTGAGAGCATGAAGAAGCCCTCTGAAAGGCTCAGACCTGTATGAGGAAAACATTGAAGTGTGATTCCATCAGATTTTTATTTTCAGCTCAAACGCCTCAGGTAATATTCTTGGTAAGAATTTCCAAGAATATATGCTAGGAAGGAGAATTTGAAATCATATAACAAAATACATTAAGCATTCTGTGACGTTTCCTCATGGGGAACACCATGTTGATTGAAATGCGCATTTTGAAAATATCCCACATGTCTTGAAGGTTTTAAAATAATTTCTCCTTACTTTTGGGGGAAAAAATGGAATGCACTGAGCTATCTATTAATCATAAATTAGTCATTTTCGCAGATATATTTTGGTATGTGTAACTTCAGCCCTGTAGTCTGAGCCTTTTATGGATTGCACATTAGCCAATGGCAGTGCTCTGATTTTACAAATCATTTTGTTAAAACATAATTGAAAAGACAGAGCTCTTGATTATCAAGTCTAATTAATTAACATGCAGTCTGTGAGATGCATGGACATTGACAATCTGTTGTTACATATTAAGATCAAAATATTTTCAGAAATGAGGCAGCAAGCTTTTGGCATCCTCTTATATTGTCTTCGTTTATTGATGGTCTCTGACTTCTATAGCAGCAATATGTATGTTAAAACAATGCTGAATATATTAGAATATTTTCTTTGTGAATGATTAGCTAAAATATAAAAATAATTATTTGGTTCTTTTTCCTGTCTAGAAATGTTTTTTTGCTGAATTGGAAGTTTAATCCAGAGCACTAAAGCACATATTGTACATTAAATTTCTGTTCTTAAGCCACAAACTGTAGAAAATTATTCAGCTCTCTCTGTAACTGCCAGAGATTCTTAAATAGCCTCTGAAATACCAGACAAGTTGGTTTATACTGAGGCACAATCTTTTGTTGGTGCTTTTCTTGAATAATGAAATCTTCATTAAGTGGTTTTGCTGTTACATCTTTGTAGATCTACATTTTAGAAAAAGCACCTTATCTTACTACAGCAGTTGCAATAATAAGTAACAATTGTGCTAACTCTAGCACTCCTTGTTTGCAAAGTAAGAGCTTACCAATCTCTGTTTTATCAGAAAATCACCATCTAATTATGATATTCAAAAGAACTTGATAAAGTTAATATTTTGATTGGGAGTTTTCACCTAAAATTTGTTTATTTGAGACCCGTGGTTAACAGTGATGGTTAATTATTAGAGAAGTGATTACTGATTACTGTCAGAGGCCTGTGTATTTAAACTACAAGAGTGTATACTTCAGAAAGCAGCAGGAAAAGCAGTTCTGGCATCTGCTTCTGCTGTTTGGGACTGAAACTTCAGGAAGGGAATCTCAGAAACCTGAGAAGCAGAAATATTGTTTTTATGCTTTCAGTAGGAAAGAGAATCCGTAAATGTAATAGTTAGAGTCTGACTCATTAAACTCATGCACAAACAGTGTCTGTTACAGTGTTTTTCACTTGTTCAGTTATTACTTGCTTCATTAGCATTCTTTCACATGTCTGAAGTTACTCATTCAGACTTTTGATGCACCATTTGATGCTTACTAAGCCTTTTCTTGCTGTAACATCCCACATGTTATTTCCTGCCTTTTCTCTTCTCCAAAGCACGATCTGTGCATTTTCCCAGGCACCATGGATGCTATGAATGTGATTCAGTCACCCAGTTCTTCTGTCCAGCTCCTATAAGAAATCATCTCCTGCTTTCTAACTTAGTCACTACCTGCTTCTCATCCTTTCCACAGCTTCCCGCTACCCTCAGTTAAACTGTCTGTGCCTCTCCACGAGCAGTGTCCCATTCTCTTCTCTACAGCAGCATTTCACTGTGCTTCTCATTACTTCCCTTGCTGAGTGCATTTCCCAAGCACACAACTAAAGAAGGAGACATTTCTGTTGACAGTGATTCTCTGCAGCCCTTAGATTTTGGGAACCACAAAGTACTGGGAGACAGGCATCTTGTACTTTCTGATGGCTGCTGCAGTAGAGAATGCAGCCCTTCAAAACTATAAACCCAAGCCAGTGTGGTCAAACACAACACAGCAGCATGTCAAAGTACACTAGAATTTCCAAAATATTATTTCATCTTGGTCACAATGGGCAAAGAATATGACCTTACATTTGTTTGGGTTTTAGCTTAATTGTAGTTGCCTCCTAAGGATTCTGCTGTCAACTTGTCAAGCATCACTTAGCTAGCACAAAAGAGTATCTCTTCCTTAAGCTGAATTAATGTTCACATGAATTAAATGTTACTCCAAAGTGTTAGCTGTAATTATGTTTATCCAGATTTACAATTTAGAAGTTATTCCTGTAGTCTTCCAGTTCGCTGGCTATCTGCATTTATTAAACTTGAATAGGAAGCGTTCCTTTGTTGCTACAGCTGGTTTGTGTCTCTCAATGCTGTGGTAACAAAGACATGAATAAAATCCCAGTGTTGCAGATTTACAGGGTGCTCCTGTGCAGGACTGTGAAAATGAAAGCTTTCAATTGATAATGTACAAGGTTTGTTATAATAGATTTAAAATCATTTAGGAGCCAAGAATTACCATGACTGACCAATCATTTGGTATTCCTGTAGCTGGTCTCAGTGCTTCATACAGTTCTGTACTTTCTTTGCTCTGGAAAAGAGTTGAAAACATCCTTAAGTCTCTCTGTATTCCCCAAAGTCTTAAATCCAAAATAATATTGTACTTACAATGACAGTAAATGCGTTGCTAGAATAAGGAGGATTTTCTGAAACAATATGAAAAGGTTTTAGTTTTTAAAAGTTCATCAATTTACTTCTATTTCTGAAATAAATAGCATTGATTCAGCATGTGTTAACAGCGCACCATTTATTTTATTCCTTTTCATGAGGTCTTAGGCATGACACCATGGTCTGACAGCTTAGTCCAGAAGAGGTATCTGCCAAACAGCTGGAATCACAAACTGTCCACAGGGTGGAGCTTTCATCTGAGAAACTGAGTGTCACCATGAATATTTTGTTTAATTTAGAAACAGATATTCTAAAGATGGAGCATCACTAAATCCAAAGCAGGGTGCGGAGTTAGTGGTGGTGCTGGCAGTGTTACTTAGCTGGCAGGTTTGAGGTGTTGCTGCTGCAGACTAGCAGAACCAAACCAGGCCCTGTTGAACTCTGGCTTCAAAGAATAGAAGCAATTCAACATGTGCTAAATTTTTCTTTTTTTTTCTCATGTGTTTAGTATAGCTAATACATATGCAGCCAATGAATTTTGGCAACCTATTTTTTTTTTAGGAAAACCACCAGAATAAGTGGAAAGGTTACAGTCCAACGCAAAGACTAGTTATAGATTGCAAATCCAGTAAATATACCAGAGTTTGGGTTTCCACTGCTTGTTGGGTACTCCAGGAAATGCAGACAGATTGGTGGTTTTTCCTAAAATGGGATGATAGTTTTGGCATTGAAAGAATTTGTTTTCTCTTGAGCATGGATGAACCTTTGTTTTAAAGCATATAACTTGATTTTATTTATTGCATGGGTAATTAATCCCCGCATCTTAATCAGATAATTAGTTACCTTTGATATAGTCAGATTCTTCTTGGTATTGGCACATCTTACTATTTTTCAAAAAAATAAATAATTTCCTGATTTTTTTAAGTGTTTCAAGCACAATTTGTTGTACAGGCATAAATGGATCCAAAATATTAATTAGGGCAAAGCAATACTTGTTCCCCATTACAGCAACTTCCCTCTAACTCCAAAGCCCTTATGATCCTCTCAGTCTTGTAAAAGTTACAGAAAAATAGATGAGATTTTTTATTTGCCCTATAGGCCTCTGTAGTGATGCATTTAACCAGTCATTTTGTCGTGTAGCAGAAAGTTGGCTGCTCCTGTGTGTTGATCACATCCTACCATGCCTGGGAGTTCAGCTACCAAACTTCATGAGATTTTCAAAAGCTCCCCTATCTGAGCCTCTTTGTCCCTGTTGCTTCAAAGGCAGATCCATCTTTGAAACCTAATTCACTTCAGCCTTTAAATATTTTTTTTAAATAATTTCAGGAAGATTTTTTTGCAGTGAGAATTACTATTTCTGTGTGGTCTAATTTTTGTTCCCCTGCACACAGAAATAATGAAAATACTTTCAGACACAAACAAGACTTCATTTTCAGATTCTACTCCAAAAAATTCCATCATAATTGCTGGTTTTAAGGTATCAGCCACGGATAACTGGGAACTGGAACAGAAACACACATGGCATGTGACACATTGCTTCTGCTAGCATCCTTACTACATATTCAATTTTTATATCTCCTTTTTCATTATATATGCAATTATACTATATGAAAAACTTTTTGCTGCTTTTTCTAAGAATGATGTTGCAGAATAGATATGTGTCCTCCAGTAGTAATCAGAATATTTCAGGTAAAGTAGCCTTATTTAAGTTCTTGCTATTTCATTTTGTGTATTTAGGCTTTTTTTAATGTTTTCCATTGGGCTTTTATGAGTAATTGGATTATGAATTTCAATCCTGTGCAAACACATTTAATTTCCTCTGTTTGGATTTTCTGGAGTTTTTTTCATTTCTGTCTCCTTTGTGAAAACTGGCTGATCCTCTATTTTGATCTCCATTTTCAACCTCCCAGGAGAATGGAGTAAAATCATTTGGTAATAATGTTGAAGTATACATCACTAACAAAATGTTGTTTATGCAGTTCATGCTTCACAATGTGAAAAGCTTGGCCCTAAGGCACAGGGATCTAGTTTTGTTTTGGTGTGGTTAATTATAAAATTTGTCAGCTGTAGGAGCACTGTGATGTCTGACAGTGAAATGAGCCACCATTGCTCTTACATTTTTAAAAATGTATTTTGGTTCCATAAACAGGGATAAATTATAAGCTGAATAACTTGTGTGAAAAAAATACTTTGCATCTTTGTCTGGACAGACTTGAGTAGATCATATCTGTCTGGTCAAACAGTGTATTATTATTGCATTTTAACATGTGCAGCTTGGCTCAGTGTTGCAGAGATAACACAAAGCCATTTTTACATTGCAGCCAATGCCAATACATGTATTTTAATTCACATTACTGAAATTATGGAATAACAAAACTTGGACTTATGTGGTAATTCAGTTAAACTGTGGTTCAGAAAAAAAAATCTGTCATTTCCAATGAAAGACTCTTCAAGAAAAAGTGATGTTTTCTTGTACCACACCTAGAAAAAGCTTAGAAAAACAGCCATGCCTTGCAGCTTTCTAGGATGGTGATCCAGGCTGGGCTCTAACAAACAGAAATTGAGGAGTTTGAGAGCCACAGTGAAGACACATTGCTAGTAGCTGCCTCACTGACATTTCAAAACCAAGAGGCCACATTCCAGCTCAAGCCTCTCAGATAGACTCAGATGCCACAGTGAAGTAGGGGAGAATCTAATGATCAAACTTTAAGGCTTTATACAAAAGATCAAAAAGACCTTTTAAATCAGAAGTCAGTTTTCAACACTTGTATTTCACTGTTCAGGCTGGCAGTATCGTCACTGTTTCCCCCTGGTGTACCATTTCTAAATAACATTTCTCCAGAAAGTCAATGAAGAAAGCAGATTTCCACATGAATCTTATCCTGTTAGTCCTCTCTTTTCACAGTAATTCAGACCTTAGATACACTCTGAACAGTAGCATAATTTTGTTGTGTGCAAGAGCAGCAGAAGTTACTTGGGGCTTTTGTCAGCAGGATGTGAAGAGAAAGACTAGGGCAGTAAATTTATGGTATCCATGAATTTAAATGTGAATAACAGGAATGATCTCGTGCCTGATAACAGCCAAAAACTCGTGCAATAGTAAGCTCATGCTTTTTCTTTGTGATCTTTTAGTTCAGTTGGCTTGGGGTTTTAAATGCTCTCATTTTCCTGAGGACCTACTTGTTCTACTTTCTTATGTCTTTAGAGACATAGCTACTGCCTTTTTTTTTTTTATTTTTTTCACCCTTAATTTTATGGGTATCCCTGGTTCTGTATCCTTGAATCATCATGGATTCCCCCAGCTCCAGTCATCCTGTTTGTATTCTTTGTTTTTCTCTTCAAGCTTATATTTAACATTATCAGATCCTCCCACTCATCTGCTTACACACAGACATGCAGTTATACCAGGACCTGGCTCTTCAGTGTAGAATGATTAAATCTCCATATTTCATGGCAGAGTTTGGAAGTCATTCACAAGAAATGTCTAATGGAGTTAGGTGGCTGCAAGTTCAAGCAGGGTCATTTTCATGTCTCCTAAGCAATGACTGATGGATACAAGGTGCTTCAATGAGCTGGGCTTAGCACGTTGCTGTGGCTTGAATAGTTGTTGGCAAAAGATTTCAGTTAGGAAATAACACTGTTTTCAGGGTACTGATTTAATTCAAAGTTCAGGTAAATGGAGTGTGCTGTCCAGGTTTTAATATATATTTCCTGGGAAATTTCAATAGACTTATTTATGGTGCATAATAAAGATTCTTCATGGAAAAAAACTGTGTAGAGGAAGTAGTAAATCAGCTGCATTGTCAAGAACAATAGGTATGAATGTATAAGTCAAATTTTTTTAAGAACATTTCCATTTCAAGGGCTTTTTTTCAATAGCATCAGAACAAGGAAATTACTGCAGCAATTTGCCTGTCCTGTTCTACTGACAGACTTGAAATAGTAGAAACCTGGTGCTTTGGGTAACAAGCATCAACTCACTGCAGGTTACCTTGTGACAGCCTTGCATGGCTCTCAACAATAATTTCTGATTTAGAATGGCTTACCAAGCTGCCAACACTCATTTAAGCTAAATTCAACCAAAGTAATTGGGGAGTTTTGTTGGTTTTCTGTTTTTTTCATTTTACTGCCTGCAGGATGCTTCAGATTAAAAAAAATAGTTTTTACAATTGTAAATACATTTTTCCATAAGCCGAGAAATACCACTTAAGGATAACAATTTCCCTACTCCCAGCCTCTGTCTTTCTGGTTCTATTTCTTTCCCATTACTCTGGGGGAAAATGAATTCTCTCCTTATTTAGAAAAAAAAAATGGTGTAATTTAACTTGGAAGGAAAATTGGGTATACATTAGAAATCCACAGAGATTACAAGAGAACAGTGCCTGACAATGTGCTTTCTATTTGGAAGAGATCTTTGCCTGTAACTAAAGGAAGAGATTAAAGAAGAGCATAATTAATGATAGCATCTTCCATGCTACAACATACAATTACAGTGCTCACAGTGTGTGCCTGTCATTATGTAAAATTGACCTTTACAGCTCACTCAGCATGTCAGCTAACATTTTGCATTTTGAGCTGCCTAGGAAACCGTATTTTGCTCTTACCATGATCCTGCATAAAGCAGCTTGTGACAATGTGTGTGTATTCAGCTATTTTTTTCATTCTCTTTCTCCTTGGCTAACAGTTCACAGAAATCTCTCTGCTGTACTCACATTATGTCTTCGGTTTTTTCAGTGCCTTGCTACGTGGGAGTCCTTCCTAGCATCTCAAACAGTGGATCTTCATGTGGATGAAGATTCTGAAGACAGGCCTTGAGAAATACTTCTGCTTGATCTCTGCCTTTTCCATGGAGTTTCTCCCAACCAAAGTGCTTTATATGAGATCAGATATATTATTAAATTTAACTGTTAAAATCAGTGAAATGCAAGAAACCAGCTTATTGTACACTCAGGTATTCTAGTCCTGAAATACATTTTGAAACATGCTATATATTGCTTTATATTGCTTAGCTCTGATTTACATATTTTTGTGCAATTGCATACAATTTTTTTCATAAATATTGTGTAATTTTGATATAAAGTATTTTAAATATGTAAAAATAGCTCAATTTTAATAAAAAGTTGACTAAGGAAAGTTTGTCATCAGTCTGTATCCTTGTCTTTTTAGAAGTATTTTGGTATTTTAGCATGCTTCTTTAGATTCTCTTTCTTGAGTAATTTCTTGTACTTACAGAATTATGCTATGTAGTCCTCAAGGACTAGTACTTTAGTATTATTTTAATAGATCTTTCTAGTTGCCCAATGGCCACATAGGACATAAAGATGCCAAACATGTTCTGTGAGATTAATGCTGCTTTAAACTGTTGATAATTTACTTTTCAGTTTGCATTATTTACATGTTCATTAGACATCTTCAGTTTGACATTTTTTAAAGAATAAAGAAAAAAGTGACAGTTCATGAAACACTGTATGTACAGTGATACCATTAGTCACAGCACCGATCCTGCCAACACAAGAACTTCCATTTGGAGTTTGCAGGGTGAAACCTGCTCCCATGGCTCACATTCCTGTAATCATCAACTTCTTTCCTCTTTAGATAGTCAGTGTGGAAGAGGAGGGGTTAAGAAAATAAGAGGTTTGCATTAAAATGATCAGCTGATTCACTCATGCAATATGCATTGAAGTCTTCCAGTCACTGAATTATTCCACCCAGAAGGTCCTCCAGTCTGCAGCTGTAGTTTCTGCAGCTCTCCCTGGTGGTTAAGGTCTGAGCAAGCCACAGGCTTTATATGGAAAGAACGAGGTCCAGGGATCAGAGACAGCCTAACCAGGGCTCTGGCCTTGCAGAAGAGCAGGGCTTCAGCCATCACCTGCACCTTTTGTGGTGGCATTTTGTGAGCTTGCTCTGGTCAGTCTCCTAATGGCTGCAGGGGACAATTCCAGAGTACATGGCTGCTGCTCCTGGGTGGCTGTGGAGCTGTCTAAGCTGAGCAAGGGTTTTGTGGCTTTCATCTTAAAAAATGCATATTGCAAGTAAGACCTGGAATACCAGCATGACCTTTTCAGCAATGCTAGGAAAAGTGCTGTCATGCTGCCCCCCCATGAAGTGGTAGTGAAAGCTCAGCTCTTTTTTTTTCCATCTATGAAGTGTCAGTTAAGGTGTTCCTGAAATCCTGCAGGGAGCATCAATCTCTCCCAAAGTGGACAGCTCCCTGTGCAGAGGTGAGTCTGTGCTCAGGGCAGGGCAGTGCTGGAGGGCTGTGCCTCACAGGCTCTTCTCCAGCCATGCTGGCAGTGGATCCTTACAGGAGGAAGGGAAGAACAGCTTGGCTGGACTGTGCTCTTTTCCCACTCTACCTTCCTGAGGATTTTTTTAACACCAGAGCTTCTTTCAATATGCTTAATGGCTTTCCCTTACTTTTTTTTTTTCCTAAATTCATCGGATTTACCATGATGAATATCAGTGAATTCCGCAACTTAATATGTAGAAAAAATCAATTAATTTTGTGATCTAAACCAGCTGCCCAACAACTTTAGGTAAGACCTCCTGCCTGTTAAATTGTGAGAAGAGATGAACAACTCTTTGCTATTTGTTTTCCCTGTGCCACTCAAGAATTTACAGAGCTCTAGCATGTTTTCCAAGTACAGCCATATTCCCAGAGGAAAAGCCATAGCTCAATACCATATAGTACAAAAGGCACTTCACATCAGTGCTCATTGTTACTGCTTTTCTCTGTATTTTCTAGTTCCGCTGCAACCAGTGATCGAAATGCAGACACACCAGAAATGGACATCTTGTCATAATTATGCTTTGATTTTTGTCATCATATTCCTAATTTATTTTTTGAAGTACCACTGAATGCTGAGCTGCCATTCCACAGAACTGTCCACAGAGCTATTCTGAAGGTTACTGAATAATTTAATATCCATCAGTGTGTATATATAGGAGAATTGGCTTTTCCCTAGTGAGCATTTATTTGCATTTATTAATACTCAATTTAGCTTGCTGTTTTTAGCTCCTAATTTCTCTGTAATGTACGGTTCTATAAACAGGATTGCAACAAGACAGACAGCAGTAACACTTTGAATACCAGATAAGCGGAGGTTCAAGGAATTGAGCTTGAAGAGGCTTACTGGAAAGCTGGAAATACTTGAGTGTAACTGAAAATTACTACCATGCTGCTAATTTAGGCACCTCTAAGGACATACAGTGTCTGGTTAGCTGAGATGGGGAGTGCCAATGTGTGTTACATTGATTTTACCTGTATATTCTGCTGGACTAGAAAATTATTACCTGAGACATTTGAAAATCAAAAGCACCAATGGACATTTTGCATTCTAGGTAAAAATGTTCATTATGTATTTTTCCTTTCTTTTTCTCTTAGCTAGGCCGTAACTTATGTGGGAAAGACTTTAGCAGTCAGTTTTATGGAGGCCTTCTTGTGACCATGAATTCCTGATTTTTTAGCAGCTCTGCCATCATAGAATAAGGTCTATTGTTGAGATCAAACATTGTCCATGTTGTGTCATGCAAATACTTCTGAAACTTAGAATTTTAGAAACTCAATTGCCTATTCAGACTTATTTCCAAAGATTCTTTTTTTGTGGCGTCTTGCCTTCCTTAGGCTTATGATTGGAAAGTGGTTAAACTATTTGATTACTGAAAATCAATCTGCCTCTTACTGAATTTGCATGCTCTGTGTATGTCAGTGGTTCATATTTAGGGCCTGTAAACAATGCATCTCTCTCTTATTAGACTGAAAACACACACAAAGAAAAGAACAAAAGCCTTCTCTGGTACCTAACAGGGGAGCTGTCACCAGAGCAAATTGCTGGCAGTAAAGGTGAAACAGGGATGTGTGCAAAAAATCAGTGGCCCTAAGCTGAATGATTTTAAAGGGTTGCCTGATACCGACTCTTTACAACTGATCTATGGCAACATGCATGTCTGGAGAAAAAAGAAATAAATACAGGTTCTTCTGGCCCCTGCTGCTGTCAGCCTATGCCTGAAAGAGTGATCATTCAAAAAGTTTTGTGTGCTATGTATTGAATTATTTTCATTTACCTGATAGCTGTGGACAGGATTTCACTTCTAGTGTCACTAAAATAAGGCTAATGCTGGCATAAATTAATCATGAAATTAACCTTTGAGCAGGAGCTTTGAAGGCCATGAGGAGTATCAAGTGGTTTTGTTTCATATCTCTAAATCATATTTTAACATCACACATCAGCACTGCCCACTATTTTAGACAAACAGTCCCTTACAACTTCATGAAGAACAGATCAAGGTAGAGGTGTGTAAAATTAGCTACTCTGATATGTTTTAAATTTACTCAAAGAAAATTGCTAAATAACCCTGTTTCTAACAAATGGAGGAGCTCCTACCTGCCAGCTGTGCAACTGACTTGAGTAAGTAGAGGATGAGATGTAAAACCTTTGCAGAAAGCACCTGGACAGCAAAATATTCATAAAGCACTTGCCAGTTCTGCAGCTCTTGCTGTGTGGACCTGCTGTTACCTGCTGTGTGTCACACAGGCAGCATCTTTACTGTAGTCCTGCAATCATCATGAGGAGAGAGAAGCCTTATCTGTGCAATCCCCAGAGGCTCCTTATTGAATACAGAGTGATTGAAAGTGCTGGCCAACAGCATGAACCATGAACTCCTTCACAAAACCTCCTGTGCTACAATTTTCAAGCTGCACCAGTGTTTGGATGCAGCCCCCAGTGTTGGTGCCACTGCCTCACTGGGCAGAACAGAGAGGCAACAACTCATGTGAAACTGAAAGGGATGGACACAAACTTTCAGCAGATTTGGGAGGTTCTGGAGACCTGGAAAATGAGGGTACATCCTGGTTTAGGTGAGGTACACACACATCTGAAGAAATGAAGAACAGTAAGGGGATGTCCTTGTCCAAAACCTAGTTGGAAAAAAATATAGCAAAAAAAATTGTATTCATTTTCCTACAGGCAGAAAGTCATATGTGAGGTTTAAAATTTTTTACCTAGATTGGGACATGACAGTAAGTGTTCAGCAGGAATAATTAATTTGAAAGTTGTATTGCTTAAAAGTTTACTTAAGGAATAAGCATTATTATGTCTGCATTAATATTTAACCAAGAGTTTCCAGAAAGCCATTAACTTTTAAAACCAAACTAAAAAGTTTCTTTGGAATCAAAGTAACGGTAAATATGTGATATGGGGAAGATTGACTGTTCTTTAAATAATTGTTTTAACACCATGGCAGCTTAAAGAGCAACCGAACTGCTTTTTTTAATTAACTTCCTTAATTGAAAAAAAAAAAAAAAAAAAAGTAGTTGCAATGTTACAATATGATTTTTTCTTTTTTTTTTTTTTTTTTAAGTGAGGCTCTTTTTCCAAATGAAAACAAATAAGATGTTTATTTTTTTTAATTTGTACTCTGGAGTTTGTCAATTTAAATAATAAATAAAGCTTTCACCAGGAAGTACAGAAATAATACGTAAAATAAGAGCTGAGCAAGCTGCTCTGTACATTACAACTGTCACAAAGCTCCTCACTTCTAAATGGAGAAATGTTTTTTCACTCAGGCACTGCATTATTTGTCAGGTTAGAAGACAAACCAGAGCTGCTGTGAACATCAGGACCTCCTGCCCATGAGCCTGTAAAAATTGTTTGGGCCCCACAAAGCTGGCCCTGAGCCATTAAGGCTGGCAGGGTCTGTAAAGGAGCAGCAGCTCACTGAAGTGTCAGAATCACTCCGTTTTCATCTCCTTTCACTGCTCGATTCTTCAATAACACAAGAGTCCAAAATTTGTATCTAATAAAAAGTTAAAGAGGGAAATGTGTGAGGGTCCTTTTGAACCTAGAAAATATTATATGAGTCTATGAAATAGAGTGGAAATTGACAGTAATTATATTATTAAGAGAAAAATTATTACAAGAATTGAGTACATCCTCTCCTGCTTTTGTCCACCAGCAATACCTTTTGCAATAAACAAAACAACCTGGCAGATACTCAGCTGAGGTAAAAGTAAATCTAAAGCAAGGTCAAAACAAGATTTGTAATTTGGTTTGAGAGAAAATACCTAAATAACAATAGCTCATCAGAGAGTATGTGTTCATTCACTGACAGGACAGGACAAATTTTATA